GAGTTTGAAGAGTTTTCTCTTCTGTCTTTTTTAACAAATCCAACAGGTGCTACAGGAAATGAAAACAGGCACCATATAATATTTTGTGTCCAATCAACAATGAATTTTATCTAGCTAAATACAAACATTTTTAGACTGAGAAAACTGTCCTCTCCTAAAGTAAAAGATTATACTGATACCGTTTCACAGAATATTATGAGCATCATTGTTTTTCTGCAGTAGTGATGTAGTTAAAACCTGAGTGTGGAAAAAACTCCAAAAAACACAACAGAAGGAATTTTACATTCATTCTCTATTTCTTTCTCCGCTTTGTAAAGCGAAATTGCTTTATGCCAAAAAACTTATCTAATATCTACAGATACTATCTCCAGTACTTTTCATTGTGTCTTTCATATCATTAGTCATCAGAAAAAAATCAAATATAGATTTTGTGTAATTGCTGTAAACTGTAACAGATCTACTTTTTCTTGATTAATATTATTTTCCTGTAAAAATGCTATTATGTAATAATTCTGCTACAGCAATTATATAAAAATAATCTTTGTCAAATACCATTTTCACACATTATTCATAAATATGTTACTTTGAATTAATAACACATACAATGCTGCCTTTTTTGACATGCCAACTTCGAATACTCTTTGCCACTTCTCTTGAACCTTAAACTAAAAAGTTCAGTCCTTCAGGGTCTCACATTTTTCCACTTGATATATATTCACTCCTGCCTTGTTGCCACATCTTCCTCTGTCCCACCAGAATAATTAATGATGAATTGCATAAAGATCCAGTTTGAAAAACACCTCAGTACAAAGAGGCACATGAGTGCAAATAAATGCTGGGAGACAGAATGGGGAAGCAGCTTCTCTCATCTTTAGTATTGATTTATGTAATTTTAAAGCCCCGTGAAGCATTCTCTTAAATCTCTACAGAGCATATATTGAGGGGGACATGTCCTCACAAGATCAGTGTCATTGGTTCATATATGGGACAGACTGGATTTCCTTTCAGTCTCAGTGATTAATGATACAAAATATAGCTTATAATACCTTTTTCACATAAACAGATGTTCCATATTGAAATTCTAAACACATTATAGGTCTCATTTACGTACCTATATATCTAATCCTGAAACCTTTTTTATTGGTGCCATGATCTGCTGACCACCGGAGAAATACTTCATGGCCATTGCTTGTTATATTTAGGGAGGATGAATAGTCTCCACTGAGAGATATGAGCAGTGGGCTATGACTATTTGGTCCTTGGTACAAAGGAAGGAATAGTCTCCACTGAGAGATATGAGCAATGGGCTATGACTATTTGGTCCTTGGCACAAAGGAAAGGAAAAAAAAAGAAAATGGGAGTTACAAAGTTTAAATAACACACAATAAAATATATGCACACAATTTATATACATATATAAAACATCCTCCAAGCAAATGGCAAATTAATTTGAACTAAAAATACAAGGTGACATTACATGTTATACACTAGAAAGTACATATTTGCCCAAAACAAAAAATTATTACTAGACATAATTAATGCAGTACAATTTTAAAATACGGCAATCCAACAGTCTTTTCAGCACCGAAAATCCAAATAATTAAGATTTCTCATACTGAAAAAATAAGTCAATAGTGACTACACAAATGCAATGTAAAAATACAATATAAAAAGTATCATCCAAAATTGTGCATCCTATAGTTACCATCAAACACCTCAAGTATATCAAATTCCTTTTCTGTCTGGAAGAATTCAAAGAACATGCTGATATTATAACCCTTTTCCACAGTAATGGTCCATGCACACATCTGGAGATTTGGATAGCTGTCAGGATATCCAGGGCTCAGTATTACTCCTGTTGAATCCAGACGCATTTCATTGGCTGGACAGAGCACTGTAAAAGAGTAAGAATGGCAAAAAAAAAAATCTAAAGCCCACTATTTCTGATTCATGTGCTTGACAAGATTTTCCCAAGTTTAAAAGGACTGCATTACTCATTTTATTCCTGTAAATACAGAAAGACTGACAATGTTTTAGAAACTCAGCTGAAAAGAAGTCTAAAGTAATGCCTATGTTGAGAGTAAACCCTGCAACTCTCAGAGGTTATCAATTCATGACATTTTTCTTCTATCACTCTCTAGAAGATAGCATATTCATGTATGCTGTACTTAAGTACTAAATTGCTGTAGTGTTCAAAACATGAATGGTAGAACTTTTTTAACCCTCATATGACTGTCAGCAAGAATTCTGGGTAAATTCTTCACTAAAAGCAAACCTTGGAGACACTGTTATTTTTGATTGTCAGATTCTAAATAAAGATTATGAATAAAAGAGTAACATTCTAAATAAAGATTAACAAATCCCATATCTGTCTCTATGAAACAGTACCTAATTTTGGAGCTTCTCAACGAAGAGGATATACCTAAACATAATGTGATCCCTATTTAGATGTTATACTTTTGGTCTAGAAAATAAAAGACACACTTCAGGCTGACATTTTGTTGCCTAATAGGACTCAAGAGGTCTAATTTGACAAGAAGATGACTTGTGCTAATCCAGCTACCTAATTTTTAGATTCATAGAAACCTCATAAAATGCTACTTTATTACCTTAAAATGCAATTTAAAAAAACAACTTGAAATTCTGGGGTTTTTTTCACCACACCTGGTACAGTCCTATTTCTTTCCTATCCCTTACCAAAGGTAGCAACAGAGCTCTTAAAATCAAAGCCTGTGTCTAGCAGTCAAGATACTGATATTATAATCCTGACTGAGGTCGAGAATCTCAGGCTGACTTTGGGCAATACACCTCATTGCTCTTTCTTTTAAAAGAGGTTCAACATTTCACCACATGACAAACATTTTTCAGAGGAAAAAAAAGGATCAAGTTAAGAGGGAAAAAATAATAGGCAATTTCTGTCACACTTAAAAGTGAAAATCCAAATATCAGCTCCATATAGATATATAAATATATCCATTTTTACACTATATGCCTCATAATTATGGATTTATTTGGTAAGAAACACAGATGTGACATTGGGGCACATATGTTATGTGCATATTGAATCTATATATACAAATTATTTTTATAAAATATATGTATGACAGACTTTTGGTTATAAATTTACATTTCTAATGAATTCTCAAGTTCAGAGACAATCAGATACTTTCCTCTTTCTCACAGGGATTGTTTCCCTGATAAGCAGATGTAGGTCACCTGAAGAAGAATATATAAAAATCTGAAGTTCTCAATTGCTGACAGCCTTTTTCCAGTACTTAACTCCAGGAAATAAGAAAAGGAACGTGCTTTACCCTTTTCTCTAAAAGATTGCTGGGAGAGACTACAAGCCACAACACAAGAGGTTTTCCTGCAGGGAAAAAAGAAGCCACCTGCTCCATCCCTTTGTCTTCATCATGTATTGGCTGCCATACCTTCACCTTACTCTAAGTAATAATTTCTTCTTATTTTCCGCATCATATTCTGAAGTTATTCATCTTTCACTTAGAGCTGTTCTGGAATATATGTAGCAGCTCTGTCTAGCCTTTATTGTCATAGTTTCAGGAGGGATAGAGGATGTTAGCAGGACAAATGCTACTCTGTAAATGATTTATCAAGACCATTTAAAGCAGCTGCTGAAATTGAGTAAAATGGTGTTTGAAAATATGATGAAGAGGCTTGATTTTGAATTTATCCAGATTCATTAGGCCTACATAGAATAACAATCTCATTAAATATAAAAAAGTTGATATTAGCATTTTATTGGAACTTTTTGAAAACATTCATTTTGCTTCACGATATATGAACAAGTGCCTACAGCATATTCAGAACTGAATGCTGCTAAACAGGAGCATTGAAATGGTCTATGTATTGACCACTATCTCTTACATGAGAATTAGTATTGAGTCATTACAAGTTACACAAGAAAATAATAACACCTTAGGTTTCTCAAGTACACTGAAAATAATATTGGCTTATTAATTCCAATGATCAGGTTTTATGTCAAAAAAACGTTATTGGATTATGAAAAGAGAGAACACAGAAAAGCAGAGAAAGAGAGGAAAGGATCATAATCTTCATAAACGAAGCACATAAGAATCATAGAATGGTTTGGGTTGGAAGGGACCGTTGAAGATCATCTAGGCAAAACCCCTGCAAACCCCATCAACCTCAAAAAAGAGAAAGGAATCTGTCCATATATTTAAAAAATGTTCATCTTTCACTGGAAAACCAGCATCTAATTGTTAAATTTAAGGAGTTGTTTCCCAAGTCCAGTGTTTGTTTGTATTACTCAATAAGAGATTGAATATAACATCTCCAGTCCACTTGAGAAAACTCATATGCCTGGAATATGTCAAATTCCAGTGCTGTGTCAGCTCTGACATAGACTGTATCTCAAGCAAATGAACTATTCCTTTCAGCTTTACAT